CCCACAAGGCCTCAGTCTGCCCATCAGTCTTGGGGTCCAGATACCTGTGTTTCAGTTCCAGTTCTGCCATATATCTGCTCTGTGACCCTGTTCTTGCTGGATCTGGACCTCAGTTTCTCCCCTTGCGAAGAAGTGGTTATGTCAGAATGTCAGGCATGGAGGTCCTGGGCTGGGTTGGGCTGGGCTGGGCTCAGAGTGAAGCAGGAGAAGCAGCCTGGGTGTAGTCACCTGGCCCCAGAGAGCCCATTCCAGGTGTGGGGCAGGAAGTCTGTGTACCTGAAAGCCTCTCTTTCACTTTTCTTTGGATTAAGCATTACCCTAGACAGTCACGCCTTCAAAATGCAAACATCTTGCTTAGCACTGCACTCCCCAAGGCTCCGGCTTGGGGGAGGGGAGACAGGAATAATAACAACAGTTTACTATCTCCTGTGTGATTCTAATGACGGCTATTGACTGCCTAGGACAAGTTAACCTGTTCATTCATTCATCAAGATCTAAGTATTCATTCCAACAACAGATGTGTACTAGTAGCTTATGGATGCCAGGCACCAGGCCAGGTGCCAAGAGGAAGCTCTGCTCTGGGCACAAGGGCCCAGAAGACAGAGAGCCTCAGTGCTCCCTCCCCCAGGTTGTCTGCAAGGACTCAGCACGCAGTGGGTGTTCAGGGAACAGTGCTTATTAACTGACTAACCAATCAACCAGGATGCCTATTGGAAAGAACAGCAGTATTTACCCCTACTCTTGCCTGAAATTCCACCATTAGTGATTCATTCCTTTAAATCCTGCCTCACTAGATGTCCACTTTAGAATAAAAACACTTTCATGCCCAAGTTTAACATATTTCTGATCCCTTTCCCCTTGATAAGGAAGAACGGAAAGAGGAAGTCTAGTTGGGTTTAGGGGACCTCACGTGATGCTAGTCCTGCCCAAGAAGTCAGGACACTGGGCTCCCCTTGACTTCATGCTTTGTTCGGGGGCCCCCCAGGCAGTGGATCCAATGGTGAATACTGAGGTACGAAAGGAGGCGGGAGAAGAGATCCACGCACAAACCTGCAGGTGGATCTAGCCCTGAGTAACCACTGAACTGAACCAGTCTTAGCTCCTGTATGGCTGGTAGCCTGTGAAAAGAGGCAGCATAGCCCAGAGAAGAGGGAGCAATTATGAAGGATTTCCCAGTTAATGCTGCAGTGGGTTAGTTCTTTCTAAGAACCTGATACAACTCCTAAAAGTCATAATGAAAAGCCTAAGAAATTCAATTATATTAGAGATCATTTTTCTACATAGTAAAAACCATCAAAAGCAAAATCTAAAGCTTAGGGAAACATTTGCATCACATCACAAGGAGCTAATCCCATTAGATGTAAAGAGTTCCTGCCAACATCAAAAAGAAAAAGACCAATAACGGTTTTTTGGGTTTTTTTTTTTTTAAAGATTTATTTATTTGTTTGTTTGTTTGTTTATACAAGCACTGGGTACAGTCAGAAGCACGGGACAGTGAGAGAATTCACCAGAGCCAGAGCAGGGAACAGAACAGGCAGAGTGACGAAATACACTGCTGAGGGGAGCAGCAGGCAGCAGGAGAGGTCTGCGCGCCATGTGAGACCCTCGCTGGGCGGTCGGGGATCGAACTGGTGCTGCAAAGGCTGCGGGCAGCTTCGCAGCCCAGCACTCAACCTCTGCGCTACCAGGGGAGGCCCGTTTTTGTATTTTTTTTTTAAATGGGAGAAGAATATGTACAGAAAGTTCACAAAAAGGCACTACAATGGCTCTTGAACATTTAGAAAGATCATTTTCACCCATAATAAGAGAAGCAAATTAAAACTACTCTATGGTGGGCCTCCCTGGTGGCACAGCGGTTGAGCGCTGGGCTGCGAAGCTGCCCGCGGCCTCTGCAGCGCTGGTTCGATCCCCAACCACCAGCGAGGGTCCCACAGGGCACGACAGATCTCTCCTGCCGCACCCGCTGCTCCTCTCAGCATTCTCCCAGTGAATGCTGCAGTGGGTTAGTTTGTCTGCCTGTTCTGCTACCCGCTCTGGTTCTGGTGAATTCTCTCACCCTCCTGTGCTTCTGACTGTACTCAGTGCCTGTATAAATAAATAAATCTTAAAAAATATATATATAAAACTACTCTATGGAAAGTCACTTTTACCTATCCAATTGGCAAAGATCAAAGCATTTTATAAACCAGACTCCTATTACCCCTGGCTGGAGTGTGATTCAGCACAGTATTGAGGGGGTCAATTTGATCATGTCTCAGAGTCACTCCGTGCATATGTACCTTTTCACTAGCAAATTACAAGCAATTTATCCAACAAATGCTTTCCTGTATATGAAAAGACGTGCAAGATTATGCATTGCAGCAGCATACCAAAAACTAAAAAAATGTGTCTATCAACACAGGTGCCGAAATAAACCACAGAACAACCTTGTGAAGGAATGCTACGTAACTGTCAAAAAGGGTGCCGGTAGCTTGCCAGTTACTGTCACAGCACATCCTGCAAACAATCGACATGGTAGTGGTAATGCCTGGAATGGATTCGGACTGAGAGAGAACATGAAAAACCAAAACTGCTTTACAGAGTGAACAAATCTTACTTCTCATTTTCAGTTTCTACTTCTATTATCATAATGTAGCTTGTGCAATATTTTAAATTTTAATAGAAAAAATAAGATCTAGTGTACACATAGTGCCTGTAGTTAACAATACTGTATTGTACACTTAAAAATTTTCTGAAAGGATAGATATCAGTGCTGTTATCACAAAAACAAATCATAATAATAATAAGGTGGAGGGCCTCCGCAGTGGCGCAGTGGTTGAGCGCTGGGTTGCGTAGCTGCCCGCAGCCTCTGCAGCACCGGTTTGATCCCCGGCTGCCAGGCGAGGGTCCCACATGGCACGCAGACCTCTCCTGCCGCTCGCTGCACCCCTCAAGTGTACTTCGGTCGATCTGCCTGTTCTGTTCCCCGCTCTGGCTCTGGTGAATTCTCTCACTGTCCCATGCTTCTGACTGTACCCAGTGCTTGTATAAATAAATAAATAAATAAATCTTTAAAAAAAAAATAATAAGGTGGGAAGAACTTTTGGAGATGATAGATTTCTGGCATATATTGTGATGATTGTTTCACAGGTAAAACTTTTCACCACACATATTCAGTTCTATATATTAACCATGCACAGTATTTACTTATCACTTAACAAAGTGATTTTTAAATAATTAAAAAAAATAAAGACCCTAATAGAAAAAACTCAAAGAGCAATATAAGGTGATTGATAATTAAAGTGATACTAGGACTTTTGTACATTAACATGGAAAGACGTGTTCCTGGCATGTTTCCTCGTGTGTGTGCACGTCAGTACACATATGTGAATACACAAAAAATAAAGCCTGTTAAAAAACAAGAGGAAGAAAAAGAACAATCCAGGTCTATGACATCTAAGTTGTAAGACCTTAAGAAAGTGACTTTACCCTCTGTGCCTGCCTCAGTTTCTTCATCTGAAAAAAAAAGGGAGCACACTATTCAGGGCTTTTAGAGCACTCCGCAGCAATGAAGCCAGCAGCAAGCAGAAATGGCTCCTGGCACACAGGACACAGGTCGAGAGGACAAGTATTGAGTTGACAGAGGGACCAGCAGGGTGTGAGAGGAGTGGGCCCAAGACCTGCTCCTTCCCTGCACCCCACCTCCATCCTGAGCCACCAAACTGGTGGAGTCAAGAAGGTCCAGCCCTGCCCTGCTGAGAGTGACCAGGCCTCTGGTGGTGGACAGAGAAGTGGTCAGCACCGCAGGGCCACTCTCTGGGCTCCTGAGCAGCAACGTGCCTGACACCCCCATGTAGTGCCTAGCTGGGCCTCGAGGGAGTGGCTGTCCACTCAACGTGGGGTCAGGGGGTGGTGGAGATGTTGGTCCAAACATAAGGAAAGCCTAGAACTGCATCCTAGGCATTGGGTCCTCCCCACACACACACCATTTAGGCCTGCTGACAGGAGAGAAAACGTAAGAGCCAGCTGTAACCTCTGAACCCAACCAGGGAGACAGAGAAAGCAGAAAACCAGCCAGGCTGGTGTCTCTGCCCCTTCAGCCTCCACCACCTCCTCTGAGAACCTACCAAGGGAGCACCTGCTAGGAACAGGCTGGGCAAGGTCCTTCCTCCTAGGGTGGGGGTGGTGCTGCTTTCATTCCATTGCCAACCAGGGAACCCTCTCTGGAACCCTCTCTGGACTGCTGGTCCACAGTCTGCTGGCTGGGAAGCAGTAGGATTGGGACTTGAACCCAGACCTGCCCCTCTCCAAGGCCCAGGAACTTTCCTAGCCCTATATCTGCATTTCCTGAGGTGCATGTGCTCTGCCCAACAGGGGAGCCATGAAAAGCTCCCACACACCCACATGGATCTCCGGTCACAGGCAGCTCAGGGCTTGTGTTCACCTCTTCCTCCTCGTAGAGAGATTGCCTGTACACATGAGCAAATGGAAGGTTCTGAGAAGTCCTGCAGGAAAGACTCCTGCTGAGTCAAACAGCTAAGCAATCCTTTTGGCTCCTGGGAATCATGGTATTAATCTCTATCAAGCCCTCTCTAGGAAAGACTGACTTGCAAGTCTCCAAGACTCATCTCAGAGGTCCACTGAGCAGCTGTAGCCCACACAGTCTCTTAACTGCCCTTTTTCTGACAGTCAGGGGAGCTCCCTCTACTTGACCTTGCATTAGGAAGGATGGGCACTCTGTGTGTGTATTTGTGTGTCTGTTGGTGGGGGGGGGGGGGAACCAGCCCCTACCTGCTGGTAGGTGAGGGGACCAGCTCTTAGCTCAGTCACTTGGGGTGGGGGTGGGAGTGGGAGAGACCTGAGCACCCTGACCTGGCTCTTGGGCAGTTTTCCACTGGGGAAGCAAACTGCCCTGGGGAGGAGCAAGCAGGAAAGAGCTCTAAACACCAACCAGGAAAAGACCCTCCCATTGTACTTCTGTCCTTCCTCTTCCATGCAAAGTAGGGAGGAGGCCTACCTACCTCAGTGTCCCCATCTGGCATAGGCAAAGCAGCGCAGGCAACAGAGCCCTGGACGAAATGTCAGGAGACCCAGAGTTGGGGCTCTGCTTCTCACTCTCTCTGCGCCAGGTTCCTCCAGGGGCAGGAAAGACCTCCATGAGGACCCTTCCTATTCAGACTAGCAGAGAAGACAGCCACAGTCAGATTGTGGGAAGGCACCCCCACCTAGAACTCAGCAGGCCATGCTGGGGGCCATGGTCTCCCCCAGCCTCCCCCAGAGCCCAGCAAGGCATCACTATCTAGTCTGCCCCTCCAAAGGCAATGCCTGGCCCAGAGGCCCCCGATTTGGCTCCCGCAGCACCAGCCACAAGAGTGCCCTGCCCAAACCCCAGCTGTGACCCCACATCCCCAAGATTTCCTGAGAACATGAAGAGAGGCCAGGGGGACAAGCAAGGGGCTGCCTGGTGAAGGCCGGCCGAGAGCCCGGAAGTGCCCTTCTGCAAGGGAAGCAGCCCAGTCAAACTCCATCAAGCCACAGCCTGTCTTCCGGGGCTGCACCCACACAGGAGTTTGGGAGGTCCTCACTATTGCTGTCCTCAGAGGCCCCCTTCCTGGCCACTCTTTCTTTCCTTCCACAAATTCCTGCCTGTGGGAGCCTGGCTAAGGCTGAGCACAGGAAGTTGCTGTGATGGGGTCTTAGTTCAAACAGCCTGTACTCCCCCCAAAATCAAGCCTCCCCTTGGCATAGTCTACCAGGGCTCCTGTACCTATCCAAAACCCCAGGAACACCAAGCCCACTCCTGCTCACCCCCTGGCCAAAAACTCCTCCGGAGCTTCCAGAGCTCTTCTTGGTGGCTGTGTGAGTTGACTTATTTCAGTTCCTCAAACAAGCTCCACCCTTTTGTTGCCAGACTTTGGCAGCCTAAAACACTGCCAACCCTACCACCCCCAAACTCCTTCTGTAGGGCAAACTCCGGCCCACCCTTCAGAACCAGGCTTAGTTGCCACCTCCTCCAGGAGGGCTACCATGCCCCTCCTGACCAGGCCTCAGCGCCTGCCTCATCATCACCTGTGCCTGCTCTTCCCATGGGCACCTGATCTGTCACTGGCTACAAAACTCCTACCCCAAGGCTGAAGTCTGGTCGCACTGCCTGGCACACAGACAAATTCAGACCCTTCCCTCTGTTAGGGGGAAAAGGATGTCCTAAAGCTAATTCCATTCAGGTTTTGTAGACTCCACCCCCACCCCAGGCCAAAGCCAAAAGACACTGGGAACTCCAAATCCCATCACCACCAAAGGGAAGGTGGCTGGGACCTGAGGGTGGGGTTAAGCAGCCAGGTGGATATAAAAGGCAGATACGTGGGCTTTGGAGCATCCCCCATTTTTGGCTCTCCGCCAGCTCGCAGCATCTGGCCAGTTCTGAAAGTGCCTTTGGGTTTCCAGGTCGGCGGATCGGGTAGGATGCATTAAAGACTTTATTTCCTTATTTTCTCCCTGAGTTGTACATTTCCTTAATTCCCTTTCCCTTGTAAATAAACCTTTCATTAACCTTTTGTGTGTGCCTGTAGTGGAGTATTAATGGGTCCCTTTAAAGCACGCGGGTGAGGACCCACAGCCAGGAACCCGTTATATTTTATATCGGGGTTGCCCTATAACACCTCCACAGGCTGAGTCAATACAGTCCCTGGAGGAACCAGCCGAAGGGAGAGTGAGAAGCAGAACCCCAATTCTGGGTCTCCTGACATTCCGTCCAGGGCTCTGTTGCCTGCGCTGCTTTGCCTATGCCAGATGGGGACACTGAGGTAGGCAGGTCTCCTCCCTGCTTTGCATGGAAGAGGAAGGACAGAAGTACAATGGGAGGGTGTTTTCCTGGTAGGTGTTTAGAGCTCTTTCCTGCTCATCCCTACTCCCATATGCAAGAGCTTTGGCGGGTCCCCTGCCTCTGAGGACTCATTTTCTCACCTGAGGGGCAGCAATGAAAATGTCCCCTGCTTTCTGGCCTACTCAGGCCATAAAGGCTATAAAAATTTACACTTTGCACATGGAAGGAGGTTGTCCTTGCTGTGTTGTCTCACAGTGAAACAGGTCTCAGCAAACGCCCTCTGCACTTCCATCCAAAAAGTATTCACTCAGTTTTTTGCCCCACGAAAGGTATTCATGAGATCCTGAGGCCACAAGCAAGAATTAGATGGCATAACTCATGGAGACACATAAGATTCCTATCTCCACATCAGAGTTGCTGTGTGACCTGGAGCACGTTAATTAACCTCTCTGAGCCTTGGTTTCCTCACTCACAAAATAGATCAGAAACGGTGCCGACTGCTCAGGAGCTTCATGCAAAGACTGGCACACAATGATTGCCATCATGTAGGGTCACCTCCAATGGGCTCCAAACATGAGGCAACTTGACATCAATAGGCACTGGGGGACACACTTCAAGTCCCAGGGTTCTCAGTCAGCATGCTACTTCCTGTTAGCCCCTGAAATGCAGCTCTTCTCTTTCTTTGCTCCCCTGCCCAGAAAGGGGTCCCTGACACAGGGATGCAGAAGTCCTGGTCCCTACCTCGCACTAAGGCACCGCCTTCCCAGGGGACAGAAGCAGTGGCTCCAGGGAGTCTGGGTATTTCAAAAGAGGATGCTTCCCCATTAGCATGGGTCTTCCATTAAAGCAATGCCTCCAGCCAACTTCAAAAGGCCCCTCCTGCCCAGCTGACTGGGGAAGGGAGACAAGTATGAAAGGCCAAGGAGCAGGGCTGGCTGATCTGGAGGTACCAGGTCCACCCCAGCAGGGGGATGCATTTAGAGGTAAAGTCAGTCTGTCTACAGCAGAGGTGGGGAAACACACCCAACCAACATGCCCCCACCGAATGGAGCCAGGGGAAATGCACGTCTAGCACAGCTCTGGCCAGGAAAACTCACACTGGCCCCAAGGCTGCGGAGAACTCCAGCCTCAGTTTTCCCATCAGGGCAGAGACAAGTTACACCCAGGATCCTGGGCCTTCCCTTGCTCAGCCAGTCGGTGACACCCGGTAACATCAGGCCAAGCCAGTTACCCCTGAGTTAGTGAGACCACATCATTTCCAAGGGACAGGAAGGGCCTGGGGCTTAGAAGACCAACAGGCCCCCAGATCCAGCAGCGTGCTCCAGAGCATGCCCATCTCGACAGCGGGGAGGCGGCACCACCTACTGTGTGCCCTCTATGAAGCCTCACGATCCCCGAAAGCCAGGCCTACCATACCGTCACGAGTGAGCATCTGCTGGGCCCAGGAGGAAATGAGAAGAGATGGGCTTTGGGGGTTAGAAAACATGGCTGAGAACTAGGGTACCCACAAAAGAAGCCTCAATTTGCTTCTTTTCCCTCAGGCACAGTTGTGGGGCAATTCCTCCCAGTAGTTCATGGGGAAGGGAGAGCAAACAGAGACAAAACGGGGACAAGGAGGGGGGGCTCCACACAGAGCCTGGGCCGTGGGGGGCCGCCACACAGATGACACAGGAACAGACACACCTGAGATTGCAACCCCACTTCTCCCTGAGCACGAGGACCACTGAAGGGAGAACCATCACTGGGTGAGCCAAGCCAGGAGGGGGTGTGAGGAGAGGAAGCACCAGAGCAGATCATCACAGGCAAGGGCAGCAGGGGGCAGGCCTGTCTGCTGACCTAGTCAGGCTGGTCCAGCGGCCGCGAGCATCCTCCAGCCACAGGAGGGACTGGAGGAAAGGTGTGTCAGGACCGGGAAGGCCCCAGAACCCGGAAGCCCAGCCTGACATTAGATAGGAGAAACTGACCAGCCATGGGTGTTAGAAGAACCCACAGGCCTCGTCTCCAGGGTCCAAGGACAGCCTTACACCTGACAACACTTTGTCTCCCCAGCACAGCATTCAGCTGGTGCTCAGAAACATCCATGGGTAGGCCTGCGCGAGAGACAGGCAGATGGGGGAGGAGAGGACAATCCCGCAGGCAACGGGTCATGAAAGAGGACCTAAGCCCACCTCTGACCTGAGGCCCACCACCCTGCCCCGGCTCTTCTCAACAGTTATGTCTCCTACAAAAGGCTTGTGGGGTGGGCCTCCCTCGTGGCACAGGCAGTTGAGCACAGCGCTGTGAAGCTGTCAGCAGCCTCTGCAGCGACGGTTCGATCCCCGCCAGCCAGAGAGACTCCCATATGGCGCAGCAGACCTCTCCTGTCTCACCCGCTGCTCCCCTCAACAGTGTATTTCAGTCAGTCTGCCTGTTCTGTTCCCCACTCTGTCTCTGGTGAATCCTCTCCCCCTCCTGCACATCTGGCCTATACCCCGGTTCTTGTATAAATAAACAAATCTTTTTTTTTTTTTATTTTTTTTAAAAAGGCTTGGGGGGTGGGTGGCGAAAGGGGGAGAGCAGAGCACAGAAGGTGCTCTGGTCCAGCAGGTCTGCACCCAGGATTGGGCAACCCCAGCTAAGACAAGGGTGGTTGTGAAATCCATGGGCAGTGGCAGGTCAAGCCGGATGCCAGTGGCTACTGGGTGGGCACCATGCCACCATCCTTGGGGGCTGAGGGTGGGAGGAGCCATAGATGGGAGAGTGGAGTCTATAGAGGGGCTGGGCTAGGTGGGGTGGGGGAAGCTGGAGGGCCACTGGGCAGAGGAGAGGTTGGCAATACGCCCTAAGCACCCTGAGCACCCATTTTACAGATGCAGCAAACTGGCTCCCTCCCTTGAGCACCTCACCTGCTGCAGGACAGAGGCAGAAAGGAGCTTGAACCTACCAGAGCCAGCACTGGCTCTGGCCAGTGACCCTCCTGAAGACCCCTGCTTGTCTGTGGAGCTCACACACGGCCGTCTTATTCACCAATCCAGCTAATGTCCAGCCCTGGGAGGCTACGGAGGTTTGTTTGAACACAACCACCAGCCAGAAGTCCATTCCTCCCACCCAGAACCGACCCTGTAAAAGGTGACAATCGACGGTTCTGACACGGGTGTCGGGTGAGACCCTGCTCTGCCTGCTCCCTCAGAGGCTGGGCACTTCCCCCAACTGGGTAAGCTGCTATCCACCTGGGCTGTGGAAAGTTGCCGTGGGCTCCATGTGACGGTGCCCCACACCCTCTTCCTCCAGGATGGGCTACCTCTCCAGGCTCTCTAGTAATAGTAGGTCATGGAAAATCCTATAGGGTGGGGCCTCCCTGGTGGTGCAAGGGGTTAAGTCAGCACTATGAAGCTATCAGCAGCCACTGCAGCACGAGTTCAATCCCCAGCCAGGGAGCTACCCACATGGCACAACAGACCTCTCCTGTCTCACCTGCTGCTCCCCTCAGCAGTGTATTTCAGTCAGTCTGCCTGTTCTGCTCCCCACTCTGTCTCTGGTGAATCCTCTCACCCCCTGCACCTCTGGCCTGTACCCCAGCTCTTGTATGCATAAATAAATAAATCTTTAAAAAAAAAAAAAAGAAAGAAAGAAAAAAATCCATAGGGTGGAATCGGTCGGCTCCCAGCTGGAGCAGCACAACTCCACCAACACAAGACCTAGCAGGCTGCCCCAATGGGGGTGCAGATGAGGTCAGGCAGGGGGCTCCCTCAGGGCCACTTGATTCCTCACCCTGCCAGTGAGGACCCCCACTACTAGCTCTCCAAGGCCTGAGAGTGTCTGCTCAGCTTCGCACTACCAGCCTCTCCGAAGACTAGGCACAGGACCCGAGCCCCACTGACAGCCCAAAAATACAGAGCATATATGATGCCCCCAGGCCAGCCTCACTGTGTGGTCAGGACAAGGCAGTGCCCTTCAGGGTCTCTGTATTTCTCCTCTGCTGGAGATGACACTGACCATACAGGGTAGGGGCAGCAAGGAGTACATTTAACCAATAGTTACAAACTGTAA